TCTATGTATTATTTGCTGATTTTAAGAAATATTTTTCCAATATTACTTTTCTAGTAAGAAGTTTTCTCATCAGATATTTGTTTTTTTCTCACTAAAATTCTGTTCTTGTCTTTAAAATTATACACAAACGTTTCGAACAAAATGCTTCTTTATATTCAGACAACCGATGTGGCTTTTATGAACAAAATTTTCTACTTTTTTATGCTTAATTTATATATCACAACTTAACCTTAAGTAAATTTAAAAAAAAAAAAACACCTTTAAATGCAAAAAATCATAATAATAATTATTAAAAAAAATATATAAAGAAACTCTGGAGATGCGGGGCATCGATCCCCGTACCTCTCACATGCTAAGCGAGCGCTCTACCATCTGAGCTACATCCCCTCCTGCGTCCCGTTAGACGTGATCACTTTTTCACCACAATATGGCCAGCTTTGGCCAAAATATGCGCTTTTATTTTATAACATAAAGAAAACAAGAAAAGTAAAACTTGTTGGCTGCATAATGAAGACTTTATGCGTTTTTTGATAGTTTTCGACATTTTCGTTTGCTGAGGTAAACTATGAAGCGACCAATAAAGCATGCGGCTCAATGGTCTAGGGGTATGATTCTCGCTTTGGGTGCGAGAGGTCCCGGGTTCAAATCCCGGTTGAGCCCGCTCTTTTTTACTTTTTTGCAAATATTTATTATGAACTTTCAGTCCATTTTTCGAGTAATTAATTAATAAAAAAAATAAGAAAAAAGGCTAGAAAACCACACTTCGATGCAGAAACTATTCGTAATCTTCTCAAGCGTCTCCCAAATAAATTTTACAAATTTATGTGGATACCAAATGCGTCTGGGACCAATTCTGAAACCAAAAAGGCTTTGTCGCTAATACTGTTATATGATTGATTTTTAAGAAACTTTTCAATTCCTACATAAATAATAAATATGCAACAGAAGTCTTAAAGTTAAGAAACACTGGAGCAGAAAAAAATGTAATAACCAGCAAAATCGGTTATTAGTTTCTCATGTTAATTTATTATTGAGATTTATGAATGCCATTCTTTTAGCGGCTCTAAAATAACCACATCCATATCTGCAGCGAATTTTTAAAAGTAAACCCTTCAATAAAAATAGATTAATTATTATTACAATCATTTAATGCTGCCAGTTCAACTACAGTATAATTTGCTTAGCAGCCTCCAATACTTTGCGCAGACTTTTGAGGCAGCTATCCTAAAAAGGCATAATTTTTGTTGACAATATATGTAGCTGTATTTTGTTACTATGTATATGTACATACATAATTAATTTTCAATTAGGTTTCAGTAATTAAATTCATATTAAATTTTTTTAACATGCATCAAATTGCATTTAATAAAAATAAATATATATATAAAAAATTTGCATTGAAATAATCTGTAATTTTTCCTCCAAAACCCAAAGATCAACAGCAACCAGTTGTTGTTTCAGCAACATGCTTTTAAAATCTATATATATTATATTATTATGTATTATTTATGAAGTTTAATTGTGTCTTCCATGCTAACCTCATTGCCTTACATTTTTAAGAGAATTCGTGCGCTCTCTTACTTTTCTGATTGATCTAATTGCGCTCTCTTGGTCCTTTGCGACAAGTTGGGGCGCTCGACCACCCACACACCAACTTGTTGGTATGTCTTCACACAACAGACTCAACACACAAATGTAGGCAAGTTAGCAATCTGTTATGTAACATATTCGGCAAATTCTGTAAATTGAGTTTTTTCTTTCTTTTTTTTTGTGCATCTGTTATGTTATGGTGACATTTTGTCTGCTAAATTAGCAGTGCTAATATAAACGCCACTGTGAGTGAAACCTACTCATGCGTGTGCATACATACATACATACATGAAAAAAGTCATTAATATAAATCACTGCGTACTTACATTGCGATCGCTTTAATTACAAATTATTTTTAAATTGAACACCTATACTTATTTAAATCACATTTATAAACACTTAAAAAAATAAAAACAAAAATTGAGGCACACGCATAAGTATGTATGTATGCACATACATACTTGTACTCGTATGTACGCGGCACATTAATCGCGCGGCATTTTCGCATTAATAAACACATATTAAGAACACTTCACACACAACTTAATATGTACAAATATGCTTTTACATAATATTTCTAGCATTTAAACTATTAATTAAACATATTCTCAGACTTTTCGGCAACTCCTAACAAACGACGCGACGCGTTCAACAGGTCGAGAAAAACTAAGCCTTGCATTGCAGCTGCAAGCAGAGTCCTCTCTTGAAGAATGTAATGTGAAGGCAAGGAATCAAAAATAATAACTGTAAATTCGCTCACGCGCCTGCCATACGTATTTCGTTTCATGCTAATTGTCTCACATGAAATTGTTGGCTTGTAATTTTTTTAAATGTTTATATAAATAAACAAAAATAATTAAATTAAAATTAGTAAAGGACCAAGGGAAATTCCAAGATTTACGGGAGCTATGGAAAATCGCTAATTGTGTTGGAGAGGGGGAAGGGAGGGACTATAAAAACATTTCATAGATGGCGCAGCTAACTTTGATGGTATTCATAGAAAATGGCAAAAAATGACTGCCGCTTTGAGGCGCTTAAGTGCAAAGGCTATTAAATAGGATGCACCAAACGTAATTACACCTAATTCTGTTTTTGCACGGTCTTTTTTTTACACTATTTTGATATAATACGGTTTGAAAATTAAAAATTGCATATATCTTTCTTTACAGATAAGGAACCAATCACCTATTTTTGCATATGATCAATGCCTTTTTTTGCACGGTTGTTGCTGGAACCAATCTACCGTGTAAAAACAGAATTAGGTGTATTTTCATAGGAAATCACCTCTTAATGCTGCGAAAAGCAAATTTCAGGCAGCTAAGCAAGTTATACTGTAATAGATAAACATATATACATACGTACATACATATGGTTTTTTAGAACTCAAAAATAAAATAAATAGTAAATTTTTTATAAGATATAATAAAATAATGGCCGATTTTTGCAAATGGACGTGTTTTTCAAAACCTATTTGAATTGAATTCATTGAATTCAATTGATTGAGATCGTCAAATTATCAAAACAAATTTTGTTCATTTACTTGCATTCAAAAACTCAAACAGGGTCGTTTCCGATCCATGGCAAGTCAACTTACCTATGCTGTGCTTTTTGGCCTATGCATTCAATGTAGACCAGCATTTGAAATGGGAACTTTTGAAAACCAGTTTCACAAACAACACTACGCTGGCCTTTCACGCATAATAAAATCGAGTAACTGGTATTCCAAATAGTTGCGAGGCTGGTTCGAGTAGTTTTTGATGTACAAGACAAATCTATATAGCATTTTTTGATACTTACCCCTCGCTGTTATGCAGCTTACCTTATGTTTGGTGTACCCCTTGCAATCATGGCCATGAATAGCAATTACCTGTGCGTCTATTTTTAGATTGCGAGCCTTACATGGCACTCCTTAGAAACAACTTTTTATCGGTCCGTTATATGGGGATGTAGCTCAGATGGTAGAGCGCTCGCTTAGCATGTGAGAGGTACGGGGATCGATGCCCCGCATCTCCAAAAGGATATTCTTTTTTACCATCAAATAACACATTCCCTATGTAAACACTTTTGTGAATCTGTCCAGACATCTCTTATTATTAAAAGCTCTAGTCGTTTATTGCTACATAACATAATAAAATACGCCATCATCTAATCTATATTCCAAATCTTAAACTATTAAATATATTTATTAAAAAATAAAAAACTACATAAAAATGGAATCTGTTGGTATTAGTTCCCATATACTAAAGTTGGAGATGCGGGGCATCGATCCCCGTACCTCTCACATGCTAAGCGAGCGCTCTACCATCTGAGCTACATCCCCATGATGATCGGGGCTTGCAAAAATCTGATGTGATTTATCGACACACACACTTGGCTGCAAACTAAACTAACACACAAGTGTGTTCGCTGTAAGAGAAATCCACAACATAACATCCACACTCCAAATTCTACATCCCATTCCCACTTTCCCAGCCAACAACGCAAAACACACAATTAATTTACGCATTTGAATTTCTGCTTTTATTTTGTGCTTTATTGTTTATTCGCTTTTATTATAATTTTAAAAACTGTCAATATTTACACTTTGCCACAGGTTTATTCTACCGTTAAAACACACACACTTACATTTACACAAGCGCGCACACAATTTTCTTTTGGGCATCTCTTCTCTCTGCTGCTTTGTTTTCCTTGCATTACATTGTTTTGAATTCTTTCTCTGCTACCTTTTCGTCTCTGTCGCTGACAACATCTTGTGCGGCTGCTGTTCTTGTTTGTTGTTGCTGTTGCTGTGTCGCCATCCATCCATCCACCTGCTTGCTGATGCATATAATTATGGAAATTTAAAAGTGCACAGCACCACCCACCACCCCATGTACAAATAAAAGATACAATTGAAATGAAAAATCAACGCCAGCTGCTAAATAAAAAAGTTGTTGTGCCAAAGAAACAAAATGAAAATTTCAAGAAGAATAGAACCGAAAAGTATTTGCATAACGCTTATGCGTACGATTGCATTGATTTTTAAATCATCAATCTACATCTGTACATATGTACGTTGAAAACAAATTAATAAATGTTAGAAATAAGACTTTAAGAATGCGTTTTAACCTTGTTTAAAAATAGAAATAGAAAATGTAAGAAGAGAAATTTGCAAAGCCGATCTAAAAATAAATGCTATTGAAAGCATTTTCTATAAACAGTCACTTTAAGAAAAAAAGAGGAGGTTTTTTATAACGTGTCATTGAATTTTGTGCTAGCCTAAATAAGTATTTAAGTACATAAATAAGTATTTTTATAAACATCTCTTACTCATTCAAACTTGCCAATTCTGGCGCGTTAGTGGCAACGCTGCCTTTACGTTTTGCATTGCAACCCTGCGCTCAGCAGCTGACAGCTGACTCTGAAAAGAAAGAAATACTCGGGGCTTCGTGCCTGTTTTTAGCTATTTGGGCTGCGCGTTTTGTTTTGTAAATATAAATTAAAGATAATTGTTAAATTGTTTATAAGGAACACGCGCATTGCATACAGCCGGTTGAGAGTGAAATAATTGCATTTTATTGTTAACAATAAGAACAACAAACCAACCAAAAACGTGTACAAATGCCGTGATTTTCGAAGTGCCTTAAAATAAATGTAATTAAGTTTAGAACATAAGCATTTGTAACATAAGGAGTGTAAGTGTTATGCATAAATATATATCTAAATAACATGGCAACACAACCAAAAAGCAAACCAGATGTTGCACCAACAACGTCCACAAATGGCAAGAAGCCGGTAGTTGAAGTTACAACAACAACAGAAACGTCAGGAACAAAAATAAAGAACAGCGCAGAAGCATGGCCTGTGGCTACCACCTCAGCAACAGCCGCTACAAATGCCACAGGAGCAGCAACAAACGAGCGCCACAATCCAAATACAGGTGGCCAACAACAACAGCATCAATCAAAAGGAAATTCATTTAAAAGGTCAGTTCTAAACAATTGTTACATGCGGCTAAACAAAAATTACAACATACATACATATGTACACGTACATGCATGCATACAGTCATGTCAAGAATAATAGAGACACTTGAGTTGAAAAATGGGAGTTCGTTTTTGCAAACAGAACAAGAACAATTTTAGAGCATTTTATTCAAGAATTATTGTTTTATTTTAAAAAAAATTCCTAGCGCCCACCCGTCATCGTTGAGATTTTAAGTTTCCTAATTTTGACAGGTGTTATTACACCGATACACACACACGTACATCTATAGCATCACAAGCATCATGCATTTGAGCTAAATTTTTTACCACATGCCACACGACAACACATAACCGCCCACCATCATAGCCTGGCTGCCCCTTAAAAACTGCGCACGTTTGCATATTCATTCCAAAAAAAAATGAAAGAAAAATCTGCTTGCAAAATATTATGATAATGAGGCGGCTATCAACAGCATCCTCCCCTCACCTGCCCTCCCCTCTGCTCATCATGCACTCCCACTACGCGAAACACTCACGTTTCGCTCTGCTTACTAATTTTATGTGCCTCTGCCTGGCAGCAGGCATCCTCAGCACCCAGGACTAAGGACTCTGCTGCGTGTCGCATAAACATAATGTGTTGTATATTTCTTTTCTTGCGGCATTTCATGCCACCCTCATACGCTTTACCGCCTGTTAAATAGCTTAGCTAAACAAAAAAATTCGCATATTCAAGAGCCAGTTAAGATTTAGTCCTGCTGTGCGGCATTTAAGGTTATACGCCAGTTGAATGCATGCATGTTTTAAAGGATAAATGCGCTGCAAAGGCTCGTCAAATTAAGCATAATTTGCTTCATTTTAAAATGAATAAAATTGTTTAAAAGGGCTAATCTAAGATATCTAGTTTAATATCTTAAAAAATAGTAATAATATTATGTTCATATTAATACCTTAATATCTAATTTCAATGCCAAATTAATAGAAATTTAGAAATAAAATGTTGTTAAATTAAAGCCCTCTTCTACCAATGCTTCTAATTGCAACATTAAGTTCTGCATGGTGTTACTTTTTATTATTTTTGAAAAGATTGAAATGTAAAGAAATCAAATCCTTTTGAGCTTTTGCATTCCTCATAGAAGGCAGCAACATTTTGTATTTAGTTTATTGTATTTTCCCCTGTACATTAACAGGCCATTTATTAACTCTAATGCTGCCACCCATAAAGTCAGTCGCAACCCAACTCCCCCCAAATGATGTGCCACATCTGCAGGCAACGTCGCAACAGCTGCTGAGGAACAAAAAAAAAATGAAGCAAAAGAAAATTCTCATAATAAATATAAAATGGCGAAAACGTGTCGATTTGGCCAAACAACTTGAAAATGATGATTTGTTTTCAGTCTGCAGAGCACAACATACACATATTGACTTCGATTTTCAATTCAGAACGACCTTTCATCTCACATGTGTGGCCCCCAAACCGAACCACCTTAAAAAATGGTTGTGTTTTCTGTGCATTTATGCTGCAAAATTCCATTAGGCCGCAAAGTTGGAGAATTCGCTGCCTGTTAGTTTGTTGGTTTGTTTGTTGCTTGTCTCAATGATGTTTCGTTTCCATAACATGCGGGCAGCTTCACTTCATCTTGTTATCAAAACAAGCTGGCCAACGAACCTAACGAACTCTCCTGACGACACCGAACTAAGACAAAACCACAATAAAAAAAATGGTTAATTGATAGCTGTGGCTGCCTTTTGGCCCGCATCTTGACCATTTCCGTGCTGCGCGTCCAACGGATGTGCATGTCTACTCAATTTTCCGGCAAATGAGTTGCCGCCGTGCATGTCCAAGGATAAAGTTTACAAATGTCTCGTCATCTTCGACAGGCGGCTGACAAGCGCCCCAACGATTGATTGCAATTTTCAGCAAAGGGTAACAACACTTTTTTTTATTCAATTTTTGTTCCCAACACATGGCCACTTGAGTTGCTTGTTGCCCTTTGGCTTGTTTTGGCTGCTCGCTAGCTAGTCACAAATGAACGATGTATCCTTTAGAAAGTGTATGTTCACTTTTGTTCTGGACTCTTTGGCTGTAGACCAGCAGCTAGTCTCAGGTTTTTGAGCAACATATATTGCTGACAAAGGCTTAACTTTTTTGCTTGGAGTATACAAATAAAGAAAAGCAATAGCATTTCAGATTAAAAACAAATTACATTTTAAATAATAAAGTTCAACTTTTCAAATAGTATTCGTTTCAATGAAGCAATTAATTGAATATTTTTAAGAAATCTGAATCAATTTTGAAAACATCCTTCTCATATCTTTAGTTAGCTTTAAATCTGTATTATTGCACTTATTTTACTTTTCAGTTTGAACAAAAATTAAAGAACATTTTCAAAACTCTGAAAAGAGCATCAAATTTTCGTTGGTCAACAATTTAAAATTTCCATTTTTTTTTTTTTTTTTGGCACAAAATTCCTGTAGTTTATATTTCTGTTGCCAATTTTTATGACAACAAGCAGCAACACTCTGGAGTCTAGACCACACAAAAATGTTACCAACAATCGGTATTAACGTAATTAATTTCTCGAGAGCGACGTCACATGTTTGTTGTGTAAAGCAAACAAAGGCAAAAAAAAAAAAAGAAAATTAATTATAAACAAATCTTTTGCTGTCAGCAGCGGCTGCAGAAATGTTTGCCTGCAATGGAATTTCGACGCTTTTCCACATTTTTTGAATGCCCGCCCCGCGACTTCCCTCTCAACTCAATTTCCCAGCAATTTCTGCGCCCCCCTCTTGCCCCGCAAAAGTTGCTTGGGGTCACTCAAAAGCACATTTCGCTTATTATTAGCCCATTTATTAGCACGCTGACCGTGGCAGCACCTGGATTTTGGGTCCTGCATCCTGCGGTCCTTCCCCCTCAAAATTCTAAACAAAAACTTTTGAAAAATGCGCAAAAAAAAGAAGGAGGGATGGGCAAAAAAAACTCTGGCGCGTCTTGAAATTAACACATAAATTTCAGTGGGTGGCCAGTGCGGGCTGCTGGTATGGCCTGTGGCTATCCGTCAGATACTTTTAACTCACGCTTGGGTTGGCCTGGACCGGGCCGGGACGGGCCGGCTGAGTCGTTCGTGCGCATTGTCATTGAAATTTCCGTGCGAGTGCGCTCGAAAGTATCGCCATACGGGGGGTGGATGGCCAAGACACCTATAGGCAATAAGTTGTTAGCCAATTGACGTTAAAACTACGTGATGTGGCCAGAAGTGGTTACTGGCATTTTTATTGCTTGCCCAATACAAAGACAATTTTTATACACTGTACCTTCAAGGTGTTAGAAGCAGTTGTGGCAGATCAAATATAAGCATCTCCTTCTGTCTGTGCGTGCGTTTATGCCGCTGTTCGACTGTATGAGCATCGATAACTGCTTAATCATAATAGATAGGGACCCCTAAATTGGCATGTAGGGTAGTCTAATCGCTGCACAAATCAAGTTTATTCCCAATAGCATATATCAGCATTATTTTGTATAGCTGCTCTATAGTTTCTATAAACGATTGGTACGAAAGTCAAACTTATTTGAATAGCTATTTGGTTCGCAAGTGTTTTTGATATTTGGAAGCGTCTTATAATTCTTCTCTATATTCTAGTTTTATTTAAATCGGTAAACTAAGATCAAAAAGTTATTTTTGTTTTACGATATTATAACCAAATTTGTTGTTTATATGTTTCTAATAACGCCCCAATTGTTGTACTATATCCTGTTAATAAAATAACTTATTTACTTCTGAACATAGCTTAAGAAATTTGAATATTAATGAGTTCCATTCTAATCTGTGCACTACAAAGCCCATTTAAGTTGAATGATTGTGGAAGGAGAAGACAGAGTAGACAGACGCATGTGTCTTGCAAAGTCCATCCCTCCATTGTATGATTGCAAATTCTCTTTTTTTGCATTTTTTAATTATGCGCCACTAAATTAAAAATTTGCATTGACTTTTGCTCATTGGGTTGAACTTCATTATCAACTTTTTGCAGACGCGTCGCGCTACGGCCTAAGCATAAAAATCAGCTACAGCCTCCGCATTCCAACCTGCTGGCCCCAACAATGAAATATAAGATGTTGGCGAAGACAAAAAGCAAATAAAAGAATGAAAAAGGCCGCACCAATGCGGAAATAAATAAACGTCGCGACTTTTGCAAATCTCAGCCACCACCATCACCATTCCCCTGATCTCTGCTCTCTGTACTCTCCTCCTTCCACAGTTGTCGGAAGACAGCATTTTGAATAACAAAATTATCAGCCCGTAGCTAACTCACACCTCCACACTCACTCACTGCTTTGTAGTGTTAACCATTGGTTAGTTATGCATTTTTATTTTAATTTTTTATTTATTCTTTCTCCCACCTACACAGGCACAAGGCGAAACCGCCAGCGGAATACAATCCCAGATCCTGGCAAAACCGATGGAGGCAAGTTTTCCCTTACCTTTTTATTTTTTATTTTATTATTTCTTTTTTTGTTTATCCCCACGTTAAAGTTCGTAGTGTAAGTCCTTGTTGTGCTCTAAGTGTGTATTTGTTTGTTTGTTTTGTGTGTTGTGTGTTGTTCTTTCCTTTTTCCTATTCCTTTCCCCCCGCACGCTTGCACCTTCAACGCAGCCAGGTTTGGTGTGGCTGACTGGGACTTGGGGGAGAAGGGCTGATTCACATTATTAACACTTGACTAAATATGCATTTCTTGGCTGCCGTGTTGACAGCTTGAGGGCTAACAAGGTTTGCATTGTGGGCTCAAATTTGAAGAAGTGGCAAAAGCTGGGGGGAAACAATATGTAAAGCCACAAAAAAGAAGAAGAACTACACTTAGTGGTAAATAAAAGCTAGGCAGGAGTACTCTTGAAAATAATACTAGGCTCATGCTATAAATTTGGACTTCTCAGTACCTAAGTTTCGAATATAATAAAAAATATTTGAAAGATAATAAAAAATTCTATCTAACAACAAATCTACTGTCAAAGAAACAAAAAGGTGAAACCTCGCAGCAATTAAACAAATTGAAAGCGCAACTTTCTGCCTTGAATAAATTTGCACTTCTCAAGATACCTAAGTTTCGAATATAATAAAAAATATTTGAAAGATCACAAAAATTCTATCACTTGCTTACATAAAAACAAAGCGATTGTCAAAGAATAATAAAATATTTTCTAAAATGAACATGCAATTAATAATAATTGTATTGTCATCAGTCCTTGACCCCTGTTCAAATTTTCAAGCTGATCAGACTTCTGGAAATTGGTAAAAATCACGCTGAAAGATTCCGTTACTTACATACATGCAGGTGAAGCTAATAAAAGGTGAAACCTCTCAGCAATTAAACAATTTGAAAACGCTACTCTTCTGCTTCAAAAAAAAATAGATATATATTCGCGTCAATTTGATTTGAAAATGAAAGAAATTTCTTTTTTTGCGAACGCATTCCCAACGTGTAACAAAAATGTTACCCACCACCCGCCCAACCGACGCGAGGGGCGACAGCCACAGGACGTATGGCTCGAAGAACGCGATTACGGCAAAGGTCCGGACCCTGGCCTCGATTATATTTCAGTCGGCGCGTACACGTATCAAAGGCGGACTTTCCCATTAGCGGATAATTTTGTTAGGATTGTCTTCAATTTGAAGCGGAACACAAGCCCCGGATAGAGCAGACAAGGCCGATATTGTAGCACTCGATGGGTGAACTGTTTTGTAAAATGGAAATCGACGGCGCGTTGATTTAGTATTATTTGCCCTTTTAAAAATGACTGCCTTAGTAGTGTTTGATTGTTTCGAAGTCGCCTTTCGTTATGCAGCTAGTGTACAAGCAGAAGATTATGTTTTTCATATTGCTTAATACATAGAAAGGATACAATATTTGTTGCCTTCATAGAGGCCCTACTTTTGCTTAAATATATTATTCATATAGATATAGTGATATATAAATGGTTGAATATTGACTTTTGCTTAAATCGGTGATTAATTTTGTTTCTTTCGACATTTAATGCAATTCGTCGAAAAGCGTTGTGTGTCGTCAGATTTGTGTTTTTTTGGCCTCTCCATGGTGGCACATGAAGTCTTACTTACAGTTGGCTCGCTTCTTAGCGAACTATTGGGTCGTAGATAGCACAAAAATTGGGGCTCTTCGAGAGCTTTCGCTTAATACAAGCAGTTGGCGCTTTAGTAATCGCTTTCGATTAGAGCTGTGGAATAAAAAGATTCAAAGTGAAGAAAAGAAATGAAAAACGTAATGTTGAGCCAGGTTATGGGCTTAACCTATCAATTAATGTGCTTATAATATTAGCAAAATATTTTTAATATTCCTGATAAAACTCTCTAAAAGTTGATTTGAGATAGTTTTGAAAAAATAATGCCACTAAAATATAGCATATTTTTTGGAACTGAAAATATTTAAATTTATATTTAGTGCCAATCAAAATTATCTATTTATAAGAATAAGTAACCTCTAATACTCGAATAGTTCTGTGGAGCTCAGTTAATCGTTTGATTTTTTTAAATAATAAAATAAATCTTATACGGAAATTGTAATGCCGATAGTCAACATTTAAATCAGACTCTTAAAAAAGTGCCTGTTTTAATTCCTTGCTATGGGAAAATGTTCCAAAAAATTCCGAATAGAGTGAACGAAATGAGCGAAAAGGTAAATATTATGGCATAATTTTGAATTTTGAATTTTTAAACAGGATCAGCAGTTGTAAAACCCTTAAGCTAAAGGATAATTAGGTATAGTTGTTGTCCAGTAGTCTGTTGGTATGCTCGCTCAAAGCTAGAGAAGGCATTTCTAAATTTGGAAGAGGCGTTCTTCTACACCTTAATAAATGAAACTATTCACTTCTTGTCCAATTTCTGATTTTTCTGTTGGTTTCAATCTCAAAATGTGTTATACTCTTTCTCCTAAGGTTTATGTTTTTTGTCAGATTCACTCCCCAACACCCCCTTTATAGCTGTATTTTTAAGCATTTTGATGTCAAGCTTTGTTTTGATGAACGATCTTTTAAGAAAGTCATAAACATAAAAGCAATCTCTCCTAGTTATGGTATTAAAAAACCACTTATGTATATATGAAACAGTTTTTATAAATGTTAACATTTAATGTAATTAATTAATTTAATTTACCTTAATTATTTCAAAAAAAAAAAAAGTATAAAACTGAATATAATTGTGATTTTTACAATCTGTTTTTTTTTTAAACAATTTCTAAAACAATTTGTTTGCTCTCATATTTAAGCTATTTTTCTTATTAAATACACAAAACGAGGTTTATATTTTTGAAATTTTTAACCGAACTATTTGAAGCCAGATATACTATATATATTAAAAATGAAACAGCATTTCAAGTTTTTCCACGTATTTACTGTCATTTTCTTTTAAGGACCTGTTTAAAAACATTCAAATTTATGCCTAAGGTTAAACTGCTTAAACTTATTATAAATAATGCTTTCTTAATCATTATGTCAATTGTAAATAATAATTAAAAAGTCTGTGGCTATAAAACTAATAAAGTTCCACATAGTCGCTTGTATTGATTTGCAATGCAGAGTTAAGACTTATCAATAAGAAATCATTTAAGACGAACTTCCATTATAATTCTTAACTTAGAGTAAGAAAGTTTTGATCTCCTGAGATTAATATGCATCTTAATTCCTTCACATGTTGGAAAAACGTTGCTCCCTTAACACATTTTCAAAAGAAACACTGCACTACACACTTTTTTTGCACCTTTTTCACGTTAATACTCACTTTAGTCAGCACAGGGTGCTCACAAACAAATCCAAAGAGAGTGTCCTTAGCAAAGGCCGTCGCAGATGATAGTTGACCAAAAAAACTTGTTAGTTTGTTGTTGGTACTATTGGTTAGGTAGACAAAAATGCCACAAACGCTGCCTGGTAGTTGAAAATCAACTGAGCTCAAGCACATAGCCTAACTGACTTTTATAGCAATGGCAATCAAATGACATGCGCCGAAATTTTCATTCATACATATGTATGTGCAATGTTCAAAGTAACTGAGGATGGTGGAAAGGTGCCTTCTTCGTCCTGCCACTGCTGCTGCTTATTGTATTGTTGTAGTTTACAAACAAAAATGCCAACTCAACTCAAACCAGCGCAGCCCCTAGAAGTATGCAACATGCCAGGCCAGGCCAAGCCAACCAACCAGCCAACCAGGCAGTCAACTGCAGCGTCAGCACGTGCTTGCGTGTATATGGGTGTGTGTGTGCGTGTATGTGTGAGGCTCTCCCTCCCAGCCGCTTTAATTGCAGTGCTGTTTTATATCGTTGCTGCTGTTTCTGCTGTTGTTGTTGTTGTTGGCTTTTATGTTGTTTTGCTTGTATTTTATTTTATTTCCCAAACATGCTTTTTTTGCTCAATTTCTCTTGCGCTCTCACTCGCTCTCACACTCTCCAAGGCTCGCATGCGACCCGAAGTCGCACACGAGTCTTCATTTCGTGACTAACGAATTGTTTGCTGCCTGCCTGCCGGCCTTGCTTGCCTTACCAGCCTTGGCTGTCAGTCTCACTCGGTCTTTCCAGCTCGCTCGTTCGCCGTTTCGTGCGCTGCTGCGACGGCTGCGGCGGTGGCGGTGGCGGCGGCGTGGGCGCTCACCCAATCCACCCAACTACTGCATCTTATTTAGTTACATTACACAATGTTGTTGTTGTTGTATTTTGCATTGTTTTGTGCTGTGTTTTGTTTTGCTGCTGCTGCTCCCGCTCCTGCTCCGGCTGCTGCCACTACCACTGCGACCTGCAGCTACTGCTGCATTCCCCTGTCGCTGCTGCTGCTGTTGTTGTTGTTATTTTATGCCCCCCCTGCCAACGATTGGGTTGCGGCTCTCGTTTTATATACAACGGCAAGTCGTTATGATCGGCTACTTGGAATGCTCGTCGTTCGCTTGACGCGCCTTCGTTGTACATGAGTTGTGTACACGCGTGTGATTGTGTGCGTGCGTGTGTATGTGTGTTTGTATGTGTCGGTTGTATTGCTTGTGTTGTTGTGTTGTGCGTTATTGTTGTTATTGCCGCTATTGCTGTTGTGCTCTAAACCGCTCCCAACTGCATGCCAAGAAAGCCGTCGGTTGTCATTTGGCGGCACGACAGCAACCAAAACGGTTCGCCCAATCCTTGTTGTGTATTTCTTTATTGTGCCGAATGCTGTTGTTGTTGATCGCATCGCCAGCCTCCAATCCAATCGTACATTCGCGCTATAGGCCCTAAAAAAGTGCATTGCCGAGCGTTCCAAACGTGCAGCCAAAGTGATTAAATCAAACAAAAATTAAATAAATCAATGCAAAATATAAATAATATGCTAATCCATGTAGACTTTATTTTAAAACTGCATAGCAATATAAATAAATAGATTTTGAAAATAAAATTCTCCGTACTACATACATATTTACAAAAACAATAGAAACTAGAAATA